TTTTGATTAGTAATATGCATTGCTAAGAACTTCATTTGGACAACTTTAAAGATGATTTTCTCAATATTTAGATTTTTTTTTTTGCACCCTCAGATTCCAGATTTTCAAATAGTTGTATCTCAGTCAAATATTGTCCTATCCTAACAATCCATACATCAATGGAAAGCTTATTTATTCAGCTTATTTATTAATTCAATTAAAAAAAAAACTGACCTTTATGACTGGTTTTGTGGTCCAGGGTCACATATTAAGTTTTCAATTTCAAATGAGCAATTCATTTGACTTTTCTTTAATAAAAGTAATCACTGACAAACATTTCTTTATTTTTACATTTTCAATACACAACAAAAAATACCAGCATATGGGTTTGTAAAGAAACGAAGTTAAATAACAAAAATAACAAAATGTTCATTTTTGGGTGAAGTAGTTCTTTAACATTTGGTAACACTACACAAGTTCTGTCTGAGGACAGTTGAAACTCATGCTTCCAAAATGCAAAAGCTTTGAATAGTCTGCTGTTCCTGTTACAAAACATTTATAATTCATATTGTCAAGTCTTAAGTGAATGTAAATAAGCAGGGGGGAAAAACTGGACCGGTGCATCATGCCTTGCAGTGTAAATGCATCCTCTGTGATCAGGCTTGTGTCTGTACTCACCAGATCTCTGTGCAGGACCCAGTTGGCATGCAGGTAATGGATGCCGTCTAAGATTTGGTAAAGCAGAGACTTCACCATCCCCCTCGGTAGCTGCATGGGTTTCTTGTTGGCCTTTGATGCGCGATGAAATTTTATGATGTGCTACAACATAAGAACGGGTAAAAGTTGCATGAAAGTTGTGTGTGCGCATTATATGTGACCGTGGACCACAAAACCAGTCATAAGGGTCAATTTTTTTGAAACTGAGATTTATACATCATCTGAAAGCTGAATAAATAATCTTTCCATTGATGTATGGTTTGTTAGGATAGGACAATATTTGGCATAGATAGATACAAATATTTGAAAATCTGGAATCTGAGGGTGCAAAAAAATCTAAATATTGAGAAAATCACCTTTAAAGTTGTCCAAATGAAGTTCTTAGCAAAACATATTACTAATCAAAAATTAAGTTTTAATATATTTACAGTAGGAAATTTACAATATCTTCATGGAACATGAATATCCTTTACTTAATATCCTAATGATTTTTTGCATAAAAGAAAATTCGATCATTTTGATCCATACAATGTATTTTTGGCTATTGCTAAAAATATACCCAAGTGACTTAAGACTGGTTTTGTGCTCCAGGGTCACATATAAATCTCTTTCCTCTAGATTTTTTGTTGCTAAGGTCACGCACTACATCTCTGCAACATTTCATCTCTGCTGATCTTTTCAACTTTTTTCACTGATGAGGTGGCAACCATCAGAGCAATCCATTTTCAGAAACAATACTAATCACACAGAGGACCCTTCTGCGGGTGATTTACTGACAACGCACAAAATAAAAAACACTGACGCAGCCGAATCAGTTCCATAATGACCATCGCAATTCACCAAGAGCAGTCGATGATAATCAGGTGCGTGCAATCTACTAGAGCCCTGCACGGGCCTCAAATATAGGCCCTAGCCCGGCCCGTGTCCGACAGATTATCAGAATTACCGGCCCGAGCCCGATCCGAGCACGTAATTTTTCCCCTTCTCCCAAAACAGCTTATACTACTGTTTCAGCTATTAAAATAGTTCAGTTTTGTATGTAATAGCAAAGTGATTATATTTTGTTTCGTTTTTGTATGAAGTTAATTTAAAAAATCGAGCCGCTCTTGACAGTCGCGGTAGCAAGGTCTCGTTTTGTTTCCACCAGCGCGGCAATTTTTTTTCATCACTAGCCTAATTTATGGATGTCTAAAATATATGGAGGCCGTCTGTGAACTCTCTGCCTGTCCTGTCACGGCTATGGAGGCCGTCTGTGAACTTTCTGCCTGTCCTGTCACGGCTATGGAGGCCGTCTGCAAACTCTCTGCCAGGTGAGTGCAAGATTATAATAACTTAATGTGCACATGTGTACTCACCCACAGGTCATGCTCAGCATAGTCAAACAGGAGCCAGACTTTGCGGTCACTGTGAGAGAGAAATACTTTCTGCAGGGCGATGACATTTGGGTGCTTTAACTCTCTCAGCAACTGCAGAAAGACAGAGAGACATATTTGTCTGTGGTCTGTGTAATGCTTCACAATTCACTTTTCAGACCATATGGTGCAACTGCAAAAATGCAACCAAACATTAATTTTTTTAATTACCCTGAGATATATGTAGATGGATTTTCGCGACTGGTGTTTATGAATAAAGCTTTAGCCTACGTTAATAATGTTTATTGAGTTTGGTCATTTTTGGTCATTTTAATGCATTAAGCCACGTTAAGCGTTTTCCTTGGGAGGAAAACGCTTAACGTGCAATTAAACACGTTGCTTTCTAACACAGTGTTAAAGGGGTCATATGAAGTCGTCCGCGAGGGGCTGTCGCGCTATTTTGTGTTTGTTTATTTTATTAAAGTTTTAAATGTTCGCCGGTTCCCGCCTCCTTCTTCCCGATCTACAAACGTTTATTACAATGATATTGACTTCATTCATGTAGCCACAATCAGTTTCTAACCTTTATATAATGTGTTTTTTCTGGATTTGTTTGGTTGGTATTCTGTCTCTATACGTTAAAATAAGCCTACCATAAAAATGACAGACCCTTCATTTCTTTGTAAGTGGGCAAACTTACAAAATCAGAAGGGGATCAAATTAATATTTTCCCCACTGTAAAATAGCACTTAAATTCAACATTTACTGATCCAGTACTATGCAAAGCATGCTGGGAACTAATCAACTGCCCAGTTTCAGTTAATCAACTAACTATGATTTAGGTAGCCCCAAAACAAACGGCTTAAGCAACCTTCATTTTTACATATTTAAGTGGATTTAACACAATGGGATTAAGTAGCGACAAAATGCTTTAGCCTATTTCAAGTAAATTGTACAAGCTGCAAATTAATTTTTACAGTGTAAAATGCAGCTCGTTTTTTAAAACAGTTGTTTGCTACATTACAATCCACTAGCAAAAAAGTTAGAACAACACTATAAAAAATCTACTTGTATTTTGTCAGATACAAGCTATGTTTGATTGCTTGATTGACCTAATGCAGAAAAAGTTGAGAATGCAAAAAAGGTAAATAAAGTCAACTTGTATGCTTTTAGTATTGTCATGTCTTGCCTGTGATTTTGTCCTAAAGCTCTTGTTTTGAAGCTTATTTCATTCCGTTGTTCTTGTTTTCTTTTTTCCTGTGTTTGCTTCATGATTTCCTATAGGTTTCTGAATGTGTTCTTGTTGGTTGCCTTGGTTACTGATTGCATTCACCTGTGTTTAGTTGCTCGTTTATTTGGTGCATCTACAGACCTGTGTTTCAGTTCCCTTTTGTCCAGTCTCGTCTATGGCTTGCTATGTTTCTGCATTTCTCCTGTGATCCCAAGGTCCAGAGTGTTTTGTTTCCATTTAAAGTACCACTTTGCAGACTGATCTACGTTTCAACACTCTCCTTGCCTTGCACCAACCTTGACAGAAAATGGACCAAGCAGCGGTACAAATCCTCCTCCTCACCCAGGAGGGTGACTAAAGCTCGTCTGCTTCAGGGTGGTCCTCAAGGAACCTTCTGCGAGTACTTTAAGTCTAGTGACCTTCCACCCTGGTCCTTAAAGCCCTTCCTCATCAACTTGTTCCACCCAGCTTGATAAGGGGCTTTCGCACCACAGGAACTAGGAGTGGTTTTAGTTCTAGGAACTCCGTTCGGGGGAACTAAATTATCTCCTACTTCAGACTAGGGTCTGAAACAGATCATAGGAACTATCAGTGCCATAAGTGTACGCTGATTGGCCAAATGCATAGGAAACACCAGCTACCTGGCATTTTTAAAAAGCTGTGTAAAAATATTTACTCCACAAACATGGAACACAGTGATAATAACGGCATTTAGCTACCTGTTGTCTGCAGAAGTGTGCTTTTCCCAGCCTCGATGATATGTAACACTGCAAGTTGTCATAGGAGATTTAGTCAGATTTTCGCGCTCTTTTAATAACGTAAATTGTGAATTTACATTCCATCTCCGTTATCATGAAACCCACGGCACACTAAAACAGCTCCGATCACAGCATCCTCTATTCACAGGTTGTTGACGTTTGTAAATGCCATGAATAAAGACGTCACTGTCGGCCGCGAATGCAACCAGGAAAACAGCTCCAACTTGGCTTATTGCTCCCTTGGGTGAACAATTCACGTCCAACTCATGTCAGGTCTAACTTTCAAATATAAGTTGGCACAACTACTGAAGTTGATAAAACTCAAAAATCCTTTGCAGTTAGTAGTTGCTTTATTTACCCAACCTCAACTTTTTTACACAAAAGCTACTTAAGGGGCAGTATATGTTTAATATCATCTGATAGTAGGGCAGGACAATAATTCAATATCAATATGTATCGCGATATAATTTTTTTCAATAACGGTGATATGATTTTTAAACACATTTCCGATATACATTACCAGTGTTTCCCATACATTGATTTATTTGTGGCGTTTGACTTTGTTGAATAAACATGAGCACTGCACGTTTCAAAATCATAACACGGCGGGTGTTTTATATGAATGTATCTCTGAAGGGAACCGACTGTCTTCAGAAAAGTTTCGATGGCATTTTCATTTGATTTCATTTCGTTCATGAGCGGAGCTGCTTTGATTACAGCCGTTACTGGAGAAACCGCTAGTTTTATCACTCTAAAAGCGCCTCCTGCTGGCAGAGAATGAGTTTGCATTTTCAATCATAAGCCCGTCTCCAGCAACATGTTTTTGTTGTTGCTCAATTTTTTAGTTTTCTACAGCAACTCAGAGCACTTTTCATATTCTTTATCCTGGCTGAATCACATTTGTTTCAATCTATAAGAATAATCAGCCTACACTACCAGTCTAAAGTTTTTGAACTGTAAGATTTTTTTTTAAATTTAGCAAGGATGCTTTAAATTGATCAAAAAGATTATAATG